ATATATCAAAATAATATTGAACTTTGACAGAGACAACAAAGCAGACACTAAGACTCACAAAGAAGCTTTTAAGTCTCACCATGAAATAAGACCGGTATGCAGAGCACTATGGCTGCCAAGGCTATCTTATAAAGAAAGATATAAACGCAGGCTTACGCTCAATATAATTCAAACAAAGGTCAAGGGGATTTAATTAAAAGCAACAGTCCAACATCTGCTCATCAGCTCGCTCCAGCGCCACTCAGGCACGCAAAAAGACCTTACAGTAATGAGGCGAGCCACTCAACGGACCCCATGGCCCCCACCCCCAACTATGAGGGGGGGTGGGGGGGGGGGGGGTCTGCTACTGCTCTGCTACCACCCCTATCCACCACACAGAACTCAACGGGGCAAACAGCTCAACCTTGTCATGACCCCAAAGACAATGGGTGCTAGCCAAGGAAATGTGCAAATACGTCACCTAAGAATATTGTCTAGTGGTGATGTCATGCTCATACATCCCTGAGCACAAAAATGAAATGGACCTTTTGATCGCTGTCTTTGAAAATGAATACTTTAAATGTCATGATCCATGAAGAATGGAGAAAAACAAGGTCTCAGACAGTGTGAAATATGGTTCTATTCATCATGTACTTATCAGAGGTTCAGCCACAATAGATCTCATTGTATCCCCATCATCAACGGAATAGACTAAAATATTAATTTACTATAAGAATCCACTCCTACATTAATGCTTGAAAGATAAGTGTGAAAATATTCAATCACCAAATGTCATGAAAGGACCAAAACCAACTATTTCTGTACCCTACTAACAAGTAGTAAATAGATCTCCTTGCTCTGTGCCGTAGTGCACCATTGTCATCCAGAAACTATTAAAAACACATTCATGAGCCACACCGTTCTCTGGCATGATCTTTTTATGAACACCCACACACCTGACAACTGAACCAAAAATGCTGACCAATTAAACATTATTAAACCCATTAAAACAATTTGGGGAAAAAGCAAAGTTACGTATTGTCATCCAACCTGCTTCTGCTACCATGCTATGAGACTTTGAGGTGTGTTAGCAGCGTTTCCACAACATTACATCCTATTCAAAATACTCTCATCCACAAACTACCATTGGAACGTTAAGCCAGTTCATATGGTAATGCAGTTTATTCTTAGCTAAAGAGAGAATGTTAAAATCATTTTCTCTCATTTTTTTATGTGTTTTCCATGGCTCCGAAATTGGTCAACTGTTTTCCGGGACATGTGGGACAGTGACCTGTACAGTGACCTGCTGTTTAAGAACTATTGTTAAAAATTGACCAAGTCATCAAGATTTACATCTTCAATAGAACCCACAGACAGGAAGTCAAAGAATTAAGAGAGAGTAACGTCTCGTAATGTTGTTGTTTTATGGGATGTGTTTCGAGTGTATTTCATGTTCTTGTTTTGGTATTGATGGAGGCACCCAGGTACAAAGAGGTCTGCCATGATTTTGGTCTTTTCATGTAGTTTGTTGATAATAAGTAAAATACAGAATGATGCCAGCCTGATCTTTCACCCTATTTGTCTGAGACATAAAACATGTAGAACCTTGATAATATTTCAGATTCAAAACTCTCATCATCAATTCAACAGTGACTTTACTAGACAGACTAACAAAAAGGGAGAGACGTAAATATTAAAATGGTACATTTGGGGGGGGGGGGGGGGGGGGGGTTGGATTATATATTAGATATCAACCTTGCACCACCAAAACTTTAATTTCAGCCTTCAATTTAGCTCACCTGCTTTTTCTTTTTGCTCCACTTTCAACTGTGTACGAGAAAAGAAATGGATGGTGGAGGGGCTTGTGTCCTGCTGGGGTTCAGGCGGTTTGACACATGGCCGGGGTGTCTGAGGGTCTGGGGCATTGGGCAGACCCTGTCCCTCTACAGTTACTGACAAGTGACTGTTTGGAGATGAGACACTGGAGCTGAGGGCCTCCACCTTCTGCTGCACCTGAGAGAAGGCTGCCAGAGACTGCATGGCATTGCTGAAGGTGCCGTGATGCTGGACCAGCTGGCGGACCCATTTAGACAGACCTGAGATTACACAAACATCAGAGACAGGAAACCTTACAGTGGATAACCATTGCCATCTAGTGTTCAGCACGAGAGGCAGTGCAGCTTTTAAATGAAGTCAGCCAGTGTTCACACACTGTACACATTATGGAGTACCTGTGATGTACTTATTGGGATTATTCCTGTAACGGTCATCCACGAGAATTAGGGCACCCCAGTCATTCTTGTGGCGGATACACCTGTGAAATGAATTTTGAGGGTTCAAGCATAAAAGTGAGGGCAAAAAGTAAAAACAGTGCCGCTGTAGAGGTCAGGTTTACCTTCCCAGGGCCTGGTTTAGAGCTCTGTAGGCCTGGATCTCGTACCAACGATGGCCTGAGAGAAGACCTCTGGATTTGCAGTGTTGGTCATTGTACTTCATCTTCAGTTCCACCTGAAACCACAGAGCAGTGTCTCAAAAATAGCAACTGTCATCTCAATGGCCTATTGACACAGTGTTTGTGTCTGCGCCCCACTGACTCCGTGTTTTCTCAAAGTCAGAAATTTAAGTATTTGTAAGTCACACCGAAGGAGAGAATAACCTGGAAAAGACAGATGGTAAAGGTTTCCATCAAAGACTTTGAAAATGAATCAAATTAGATTTTTCTAATCCTTATTAAGCATTACTCAAGCCGCAATACCATTTTAGTAACTATAAATGTTGTTTAAGAGCCGTTTATTTTTTGTGACATAAGATTATTGAACATATTTCTGAGACCATCTGATCAACAGAAATATTCAGTTGATTGATCTGATTCTGTCCATTTCACAAACTTACTCCACAATGTTGTTCAGGGGGTTGTCTCAAGAAAACAGAAACAGAAGAAGTCAGATAAAGGGGTATGAGGTGTGTGCCATCAACATTAATCACAGGGCATCCTAGTGGCCTTGTGGTTCAGACGTGTATCATTTAACCACGTCTTTGGCTACATTTCAGCCGGGCACTTATGTTGCAATTCACCTCCTCTCCTTCTCTCCAGTTTGTGTCTCTATTGTAAAAACAAAAAAAAAGGCGAAATGCCTTACTGGTTACCAAATGAATACTGAACATAACTGAAAACCTGTTCTCCAAAACAACAGCCATAACTGTAGCAAAACCTGCAAAGTCTTTGCTCTGATCTTGGATTTGAAAGGGAAACCAAGTGGACGATGATCTAGGGCAAACTAAACACCAAACAAATAGGTCTCAGGACCTGAAGGGCTTGGATATTACTTGCCCACGCAGACAGATGTGTTCTGAAAGGGGAACAGAGGGGCTAAAGAGAGGCCATGATGGAGTAGAGTGGAGGTAGGAGGGGGACAAACAAGGTGGCCTAGGTGACATGAAGCATCCCTGCACAGAAATGCCAGGAGAGCATCCATCTATTTGCATCCGTCGCTGCTGATTTTAGAGCTAACCTTTCAGAATTGACAAGTGAAAAGTTCAGTTGGCGTCTGACGAGATGCCATGCAGGGCAGGCTGCTGAACGGGGCTTTAACTGCTTTTGACAGGTACCGTGTGTTCGCCTTGAGCCACCAAACACGGGGCCGTGGCAGGTACAGCCTGTTCCCTCACGCAATGCCACTGTGGCCTGTCTGGGCTTGTGAACATAAACAAACAGAGTCACAGGAATTACTAAATGTCGCCCCAAAGTTGGACTATGACTAATAACACCTCACCTAAGAAGCATGTAAACAACTGAGCAACACCACGGACAACCTACCAGCACACTGGAAAACTTTTAGCGATGTATGATGCAGCTCTAGGCTTTACAGGAGATTTAAAAGTCACAGGTTTTATCTGCAACGATACGATAGCAGTGCAGGCTGTCAATGGGAGGCAAGTCATATAGCCGTGTCACAGGAAGCCTTGTTAATGCTGCTGGCTTCATGGTGAGATTACTTTGTCTGAATGTATGAGACACCAGAGCAGTTAAAGAATCCACTTCTAAACCCACAGCTTGAACAGAAAGGCCATTAGCCTCGAGCCGGCGGTGTCATCTAAATCCAATCACAGTCCATTTCAGCGTTGGAGCCATCACATCCCTGGTCCGTACCATGTCATCGTCCAATCTAACATGACAGGTTGCATATGTGAAAAAGCCAATTCTGGCTGCTAGCAAATGTGCAAGAAACCACACGCTAGAAGGGATTACTTAAAATGTCAAGAGATCACTCGCTTGCTTTGGCCTCGTCCTCTACAGCAACCTGTTCATCCCTGAAAACATATATTTGACCACTAGGCATGATTCGCAGTTGAGCGCATCTGTTTGAGCTACATTTTGGGCCGGGTGTGTGTACGTGCACGTCAGTGTCAGTGTGCACGCCCCTAGCAGTCCGGGACATCTTGTGCTTGTCACTGAAATTGCTGAGCGCCTCATCTGCCACATAAGGCTGAGCTGACAGCTGAGTGGCTCATCCTGAAGACAGTGTTCATGTGTGTGTGTGTGTGTGTGTGTCTATCACACTGCTCATGGATCAGCTCACAGCAAGGCTACGCACAGAATAGTTGCTTTCTTATGTTCCACTAAAAAGTTCACTTTTGTAGATATTGCCTCTAAATGAAGGTTGAGGCTGATTGGAATCTCTGAATGGTAAGAGGATATGGACCGGTATGGAACAGGGCTGTAGTGCTGGAGTGTGCTCTCCATCATCTCAGACATGTTTCAGTCTTGTTGGTGTTTGGACACCAAGTTGTCTCGTCTCATGGGGTTTTTGACTCAACTTTGTCATATCAACATTAAGATTAATTATGACAACACATCAAAATGGTGTTCTCCAATGGAATTTTAATGGAATTCAATCCATTGGCAACATGTAGAGTAGCATTAAAAAAAAAAAAAAAAAGTGTAATTATAAATGAGAGCACTAAACAAGCAGGCCACCATACCTATGAAAACACCCACCTCAGAGTTGCAATCATTAACCCTTGCAACCTCCCACCAATCTTGTTCATCGGCAATAAACTTAAGTTCTGCAAAAAAGGCAGAATAGCCAATCAGAGGCAGAGCAGGGCGGCTCTTTGCAGATGAGGGGGAAAACAATCTATCAAATTATGCTAAATAACAGGCCGCACAACTGACAATGGCTTTTGAAGAGGTGATTTGGCATTTGGAGAGGGCACTTCAACATTTACCAAAAATGTGTCTTGCGCACTTATTGCTAGTACGCCATTGGTTACGCTACATTGGTATGCGTGCCAAAGGTTGCCTACTCATCTTTAGACTCAAGACTTTATTCTGACTTGACCCACATTTTGAGTCCAGTCTTGACCTCAAAACTGCTAGTTAGTTCCCGATTTAATCCAAATTTGGCAAATGTTTGTGTATGGCTGCTTGTGTAACAACATTTGAGAAAATTGGCTTCTTTTGTAAATGAAAAAAGGGGGTTTGTATCTCTCAAACGAAGGTATCGTCGTAATAAAGTGTTGTTTTGGTATATGTACAACAGTATGTTTAACAGTAGCCAGCCTTAGCAATGAATTGTGGGAAAATGTTGGGTTTAATGTGCATTAACAGAAAAGAATGTTGACTAAGAAGTCCTTCTAAAGCCGGCCTGTGGTGCTGACATGGACAGTACAAGTGGTGATCATGTATTATATAGCCTCCCTTCAGTGGCTCATGATAAAGCCATATGTACAGTCTTGAGTGTGCCTGGAGCATCCATCATCCCCTCTTCTTGATGATTTCCACAAACTCTTCAACATTCCTCCAAAATCCTCTTTACCCATCCGTTTTACATGCTCGCAGGCCTTAGAAGTAAAATGCTCTCGTGGTTGTCTTTAATAAAGGGCAGCAGCAAGAGGTTGACTGAGCCCTTCATTAAACCAAGAGAGATGCCTTATCAGTTATAAGTGTCTTTTTATTGCTTGTTAAAGCCACTTATTGTTTGACTCACTCACGCAGGACGTGACTGTTCACTGTAAAACACGCCATTTGGAAAAACTCAACATCAATGTAATACCACCTTTGGCAGGCCTTTCTCTGCAGAGGACTTTTCAAGTTCAACCTTTGATCTTTGTCACAATAACACAACAGGCCAGTAAAATGTCATGCTATGTGCTTAGGCTGTAGCTTCTAAGAGTTATGCCTGTCTGGGAATGCAGGCCATGCAGGCATCTAAAGTGCTGGAGGAGTTTAAATGGAGAGAAGCTGGGCTTACACCTCTTATCCTAGCAACGGGGTGCTGCCGTGTGACTGTGGCATAGAATGAATGAATTAATATGTCTGGGTCCATGTGTGCTCTTGAGAGAATGTACACATGTTAGCACTGGTGCATGGAAGTGACAACGTAAGAACATGTCACGCATGTGTATGTGTGTTTCACAGCGAGACATATGGTGTAAATATGATACAGTGCTAATATGAAGCAATCATGCCAGTGTAAATGTGTTTAAAGAAAACAATAGTAAAAGTAGCAGAAGTGCCACATCACACATGTATCAGTCGTTTAGACCATCATGTAGTCACAGATAGGCCTGTCACAATTATAATGAATGATCGCGATTATTAGAGATGACCCTGACCATTTTGCATAATAGTTGGATTCTTCAGTCAAGGGAATTTAGAGCCGATGTTACAAATAAGGCTACAAATAAAAAGTGAATGAGGTCATTAGCTAGCTAAATATAGTGTCTACACTTGAGCACACGGTTTCAGTGTCAGGAAGAAGCGTGTCTGTCTAGATCTCACTGCTGTCAGACCGCTTCTTCTGTTTCAGCCCATAGGAGACCGAGCCAGAGAGAGTGACGGTGGACGCGCTCCGAGCACACAGGTGTTTTGGCGATCGAATCAGAGAGGAAATTAGCAGCGAGGCAGTAAATGTAGTGTAACCACCAAGTGAGCGTCAACTTTGACCCTGGAGGCAAAACAAAGTCTCCCCTGTGCTTCCTAACCACGGTCTGGAAGCTGAAGCAGGAACGGTCAACACTGGCCTTGGGTTCCCCCGTATTAAATATTGATCGATGAGCAGCCTCTGAAGTCAACAACATGGGTTAGATCTACTGCAAAGCCAAACAGCATCATTGTGTGGTATGAAATGAAGAGAAATAGACAATTAAATATCAACTAAAATGCATATTTTTGACATCTCCAGTCACAGAATCGATCAACAAAGGAGATGGATTGGAAGAAATTCTCTGATTAACTTCAGCAGGTGACAAAGATTGATCAATCACAATGTATATTTGCTTTGCAGTAATTAAATCAGAGCAACATCAGAGGATGCCAGCAACAAAGAAAACCTACGATTTTACAAGTTAGGCAACAAAAGTAGCAGCATGGGGCTCCATCAGTCACAACCAGTGTGTGAGCAAAAGGTCACTGCACAAGTATCATCACAACCAATCGCAACGAATCAGAAGAAATAGTGGTCGACGCATTAAAGAATAAAAAAAAATGTATCAAAAAATCTTTG